GCATTTGGGAGGGGACTCATAGGAAAATTACTAAAGCAAATACATCAGGGATATACAAAAAAAAAAAAGGCTAGAATATCTCAAGACAGGAAAAAAAAACTCTTCCTGTTGTTCTTGAAGCTCTTCTTAACTCCTTCCTCCTCTTTGCCAACTGCAGTCCTGAGTAACGAATGTCTGCCAGATCTGGGTGGCAGCTTCCTCAGACCCTTTCCTTGTGCTTCACGTTAGCCAGCTTGACGGTTTCCTGCTCCGAGGCAGGTGGAGAAGGCTCATCATGGCAGCCAATCATCAGCTGGTAGACCATCACTCCAGCAATGGCCCCAAGGAAAGGAGCAACAATTGGAACCCACCACCACTGCTTACCCGTCCTGGAAAGTGAAAAGAAAGCGTACAAGGTAAGAACTGCAGCCTAAGCATTAAGATATTCATGTTTGCATCTGGAACAATCTTCAGACATCTGGAGATCTGGACATTAGGATATTTGTGTTCAGATCTGGTCATCTCCAAACATCACTACTGACTTGCAGAAGACAATAGTACCTACATGTCTGCAGCAATTTCCAAGGCAGATGTTGCCCCCCACTGCAAGCGTAGGTGACAAGGAAGTCAGAATAGCTACTTTCAGGACTCCCAAGACTGTCTCTCCACCAAGAAAGGAGAGAAGCAGTTGAAGTGCCTCAATTAGGCACCTTCACTTCCCTCCCACTGCTTGCAGGAAAGCATCCCTTGATAGCTTGCAGCCTGTATTGCTCGTGGCTCTCTTAATTGTCACCAGCAACAATAAAATCCAAGCATAACAAACACCCTCCACTTTCTCCCGCCAAAAATAAAGATGATAGGCTCAAATTCAAGGTACACCTGAATTTCCCATGGTTGGCCCTAAATTTTCTCCTTGATAGCAAAGTTAGGTCATTTGCTCTCACCACTGGAAAATGCCCAGCTTCTACAATTTCTTAAGTCAGAGCAAATCAAACAGCATCTTTTAAAAAACAGCATTTATACAATCCAAAGACACCTCATGGGTGCTAAGACTCTTTATAGTGCCAGAGCTACCATCAATTTGGATTCATGATGTTTTATCCCCCCTTAATGCCCAAGGTTTTCTTTGGCAAACACTTACCAGAACACTTCAGTGCCCCAGCCAGCAATGGCTGTGAAGAGACGAGGCCCAAAGTCTCTGGCAGGGTTGACAGCATAGCCAGAGTTGAAGCCCATGGAGGTTCCGATAACAAGGACAACAAAACCAACTGTGAAAGCCTCCAGCCCCGTGGGTACAGGGTTGTTGTAGGGATCAACAATAGCCAAGATACAAACAATCAGGGAGGCAGTGCCAATGAACTGCAGAGGGAGGATGAAGAAAAAGAAGAATTTAATCCAGATTGATCTTTTAACCAAGTTATTCAACTCCTCTGAATTCCCATGCCTTTAGGACTTATTCTCTAAACTGAAAGAGCTGCACTAAGTCACCCCATGGCATTATCAGACCACAGTAGACTGAGCACCCACAGGAATGGGAGAGCAGAACAAGTTCCTCCTGGCAGCCCACAGGCTCAATCAAGCCCACACCTTTTTTCCTACCCACAGAAGAGCTGTGAATAACTGCTTGAGCAGCCAGGAAAGCTGGAAGCAAGTTCAGGAAGATGCCTTCAACCTGCCACAACTAGGCGGTTGCTGTCCCTTTGTGGCTGATGGCAGCTTTAAGGAGGAGACAGTCACCTCCAACACCTACCACAACCCCACACCTAGTTGATCTCTGGGGTTGTGCAACAGCCACAGTAGGACAGTGGAAGTGAGGAAGAGCTGTCCTTCCTCATGCTATGGCTCCTTAGGGTCTGAGAGCAAGTGGTGTCCTTTTCGCTGGTGTCCTGGCCAGTGTTGTACCACTGGTTAATCCCCTTAACAGAAGGCTTCTTGGTGTAAGGGTCCTTTCTGGTTCTGCAGTTCCTATAGGCTAGTGAGAGATACCCATGTCAGCTCTGAAAACCTTTAAATTGCAAATCATCCTCTCACTAAAGAGAGGCCCAGAACCACTCCAAACAATTCCTCTTCAAATGGACCTTTGTCCTCCCATAACCCTCTTACCTGGTCAAAGAATCCATTCACAACGTTCAGATGCTGAGATGGGTAGGTCGCAAAGATACCAGCAGTGCCATTTTGTCCTGTTACATACAGCTGGTTATTGCCAAAAGCCCAGATGGCATCTAGGAGGGAGGGGAGCGGGGGCAGGCAGAGAAAAAGAGAAAGGTAGAGAGGTCAGTCATTTTCCAGCACACATCAGAGAGGACCCTGCTTGGAAGATAGCTAAAGTGTAGGCTCCACAAAGCCATGAATCTTGAGAGAGCAATGGGGTGCTCAGGGAATTCTATGTGTTACAAAACCATTTGCTGTAGAGAAAACACTCATTTGGAAAACTTACAACGTGATCCACCACAGCTTTTTACCAGTCAGGCTCAGATGCAGATGGCCTGAGTCCATGTTCCTAGTATTTCTTGTTTGTCGGGCACCAGGAAAGTTAGAGCCAGAACTTAAACACTAAGGTGACTTCAAATCTCTCAAAGTTATCCAAAATACCTGTGGTATCTGTCTTGGTGTCAAGACATGAGCTATTGCTAGGAATCTGATCTGCAGCAAACAGGATTTGCACTGATCTTGCATTTTCCTCTAAGCCAATACACAATCAGTTTCACCTCTCAGGGTTGTCTTGTAGAGCAGTCAGCCCCTTGCCTAACATTGCGTAGAAGCTGGATAACTAACCTAGGTAGGCTGTCTTGATTTTCTTTCCACTGGCTGTAGAAAGAAAAACACTTTTGAAGGTAGCTCTTCCATGGTTTAGGCAACTAAGATGGGATTAACTCTCTTCTGAAGAGGAGACTTCAGACCACCGACTAGAAAGGTAACTTATGTTGAACTTGAGTCCTGATCTTTACAGAGATAAAGGTAAGCCCTCTGCTTCTTTCTAAAGTGAAAAGCAGTCGGTGCTGGTGTTGGGGTGGCAGTTTCCTCCCTTCAGGTGGAAGCTACAGGGACCCAGATGTCCTGCTGATCTACAGGGAATACTGTTTCTATTGCCAGAAACAGACATCAGGAGGCAAAGTCTGAGTCAAAATGTCACCCTTGATATTTGAGGAAGAACAATTTCCAGCACAAAGAGTCAGTTTGTGCCCACTGAATATTGTCCCATGATGAGGAACACCACTCAGGAGGAATACACACATGAGGAACTGGAACTGGATTTCTGGAATGCTTTCCAAGGCATAGAATCACTCTGATAAGGGCAGCAAAAACTGCTAGAAGTCCCATTGCCTGAAAGCTAACATGAGAGAAGACATCCATGGTGAAGTCCTTACTTTTCCTTTAAACCAAGAAGGATAAAATGTCTCTGGAACAGTGCACAGATATAAAACCTCCATCACTGCTAGTGTTTCATCAGCTTTTCTGGAAGCTCTGTTTTAGTCCAGACAATAGATACAAGAGGGGCCATCCAGTGTTGCAGTGATCATTACTCAAGGTCAAAGACACACACATTGACAACACTGGTTGGCCTTCAGGTTGATTTGAGGAGGCTTGAACCCATCATCAAGAGAACAGGGAAGCCCTCCTGGAAACACAGTAAGGAGGTTTCTCAGATCTCTGCTCTGCAAGAAAATGCTTCTGTCTGATCTAGAAACCAGCCTCCCTGCAGTGAGTCATGAAGAGCAGTAGTCTTACCCCAACAAACACAAAAGTTCCCTGCACTTACCATAGTACAGCCCAAAGACTATGCCAGCTCCAAGGAAAGCCCCCAGGGTTTGTGCTAGGGCATAGATCGGTAGTTTGATCCAGGGCTCCCGGGCCAAGAAACACATGGCAAAAGTGACGGCTGGGTTCAGGTGTCCACCTGCAAAGAGGTTGGTAGTTAGTGCATTTTTGCGGGCAGAATTTGGGTCCTGGAGATGAGTCAAGGGACACTGGTTTCCGTATCAGTGCCATGTAGAAAAAGTACAGCCATCTCAGCCTATGCAACAATGGTCACAACATACCTGATACCTGTCCTGCGATCAAAATGCCAAGTGTTACAGCAAAGCCAAAGGCCAGGTTGACAGTCAGGAAGTTTCCATGACTCCCTCTGCTGAGTATGATCTGTGCAAGCGCGCCACAGCCAAACAACTAGGAGAAGAAGAGATTGAAATTATCCTCTCTGTTCCACATCAGCACCAGTTGCTGACCGATGCCTGCAACTGCTCCACTCACACCTGCATACACCATCACAGCCCACTAATGAATCAAAGCCTTCAACATTTGGTCTAGTATCTAGGGATTACCTCTAGGGACAGCGAGGAAGGAGAAAGCCTTCAACTAGGACAGGGATTACAGCTTGCTCCTGAGATCCTCAAATCCATAGATCAAGGCTTGCCTTATTTCATCTGACCACATACCCATATCTACATGGAGACTTTCTGCTTCTGTGAACTCTGTCATCCTAGAATTACTCAATTGCCACAGAGGCAGTATCTGCTCCTAGGGGATAAGCCACCATGGCAGCAGAGGTAGCAGTCTTCACCTCTTCTGCCTATACTGGGCATATCCATTGAGCAACACACAATCCAGATCAGGGGCAAAGCCAAAATCACCTAAGTTATCCCCTTGACAAGTCATGAAGTACCAACAAAACAAACACTGCACTCAGCCTGCTGGGAAAGGAGCAGCCAGGTAGGCTGCAGGCTGACTCACAAAGTGGACACTCTGTACACAGGTGCCTCTTGACAAGAAGCCAGGTCCCCAACACAGGACCTTGTGTAGAAAGAACACAGGAACCTGTAGAACTTGTTAGTTAACAAGAGGGATGGCCAGCACTGCTCTCTACCAGGTACAGAGAGAAGAGCCCCTTCAATGCCCTAACCCTGAGCTGCCCAGCTGGGAAACCGTAACAAAGACATCCAGGCAAAGGCAGCAAACGTGAGTCTTGTTTATTGTGTAGCAAACAGAGGCATCATTCCCAGCTATGCCCAAACCACTGAGGGAAGCATAGCTCCAACTGAGCAAATAAATACTGGCTGATGACTGGGGTGACGTCTGTTCCTTGCCTTTCTCCAGATGAGCCCCAGCATGCTTTAGGCAGAGATATGGAGGGTGTACTTGGCCATAGTGTTTGCCTCTCTAAGGCCATCGAGCACCACAGTCTGACCAGGGAGGGGATGAGCCCACAACAGCTGCAATGGGCATCTGAGTTGACAGCATTGACCCGAGGTTCTTCCTAGTGATGAAGGTATTTGTGTTATTCACTCTGAAAGAACTGGCAGTTCTGCAAGTGCATGGTGGTTGGCTCATTAGCCACATACCTTTTGGTTGCAGAAACCACGGAGTACAGTTCGCTCCCCCCCCCCTCCCCCCCAACCTCCCTGTACACCCACAAAGATCTTCCCTTAACCTGAAGGAATGCTAGCTTTGCCATTTCTCAAGAGGTTGTTCCCCATCCTTTCTCCCTGGTCCTACACTTGGCAATAGCTCTTCAGTTCTTCCTCCGAAGAGAGGCTATGGGCCGTGCAAAACCTCCCTGGAGCCACTCCACAGGAGAATTAGAATTATTTGTCAGATTAACACTGAGCACTATTCGGCTTAGTTCAGCATAACAGCAGAAAACTTGACCCTCAGCAGATAAAAAGCGTAAGGTGATATTTAGGGACAGGTTAGAACTTTGATATGTATGTGTGCAATTCCATACTGCACTGGTGGAGTCCACTAAGCGTGAACATATACTTTTATGCATGACATCTGTCCATGGCATTTGACTTTTAGGAACCAGCTCAAACCATGCTCACCTGTGCTTTTGTGGCAAGTGGCTTGACATTACACAGTTTTGTTGTGGTAGTGGCTATTACAATTTTTATTCACACCATTTCCACTTCTGCTATTAGCTAGTTTTCTTTCCAGTTTCTTTTCCCAGGCCATATAAGACAGGAGACCCTCAGCATCCATTTTTTAAGTCTTCCTTTTCCAATGCTCACAGAAGCATTTAGGAGTAGCTAGCTTGAGTTGAAAGGCAAGGAAGGTCAAATAAAAGTAAATTCAGCATTTATCCCAGTGGCTTTCAGGTCCATGCAATGGATGTAAAAGTCATCAGGAAATACTACACCACTATGGTAAGGAGACAGCAGTGCACACCCAAGGGGGAGATGACCGCTCATTCCCTTGAATTTAATAGCCTGCCTCCAATACTCTTTTTGTTGGTTTGTTGGTTTTGTTTGTTTGCTTGTTTTTAAAAAAAGTCAGTGGAAGAACATCCCAGCCAACAGAAACCCAGGTTAGCAACTCACATGGCAGTGGGTGCAGCAGTCAACTATTGTACCCCCATGATCCACTAGCCAAGTTCAAAAGCAGTTTTTAAAGTGCTAATAAAATGATTGCAACAAAGCCTTACTCTGATGTATTAAAGCTACTTTCCTAGGAATTTAGGTCAATGCACCCATTAACCAGGTTAATGGAAGCGTGCTCTCTAATTTCATCTCACTGGCTGTAGCAGATCTAATGGCTTTCCCTGCCAACAGGGAGGATTCTTACTTGTCATGAGCTGATCCAACTCCTTGCACTGTGGAAAAAACAAGATCCATGTTCTGCAGGATCTGTGAGTTGAACTGGTTCAAGGGTGGAGGGGCTGACAAACTCCAGAGCCTGTATAAGCGAGGGGACAGCCAGAAGCAGCAGCAGTAAAACCAGGAAGAGGTAGCAGGTTGCTAGATGAAACTTCATACTCAGGGAAACCTTAAACTCCCTGTGTCAAGGGCATGTTTGGAGAATGGCCATTTGGCTTTGCCACACAAGGTAAAAGCACCCTGTCTCAATGGCTAGACAGAAGAAAGCCCTGGAGCTAATCAAAGCTGGTAAGAAAGGGCCTTGGAGAACAAAAAAAAAATATTGAAAATCCTAATGAAGAAAGAGGCCACCTGAGTTTACAGGCAGACCTTGTGAAAAGCATCTCCATACATAAGCTCAGGAGTAAGGTAGTTCTCAGCACTCCCACGCACAACAGCCAGGTTTCTTTCCTTTCTTGCCTCCTCTTTTCATTGCCAGTGCTTTTTCACACCTTCAGGTGCAACACAAGATGACTGGATGCATTTGCTCTTGGACTTCAGACAGACTGATCTCTAAATCAAGATGGGAAAGTTTTGCTGGCATAGCCCAGGAGGAGTGTTATTACCTGAATTACAACCTTCCTCTTCAGCCAGCAAACAACCCGGGGATTAAACAAGGAGCCTGCTGTAAAACTACACTAATCGCCTAGGTGTATGGGAAAGACTGCTCAGCCCTTGTTGCCCTCTGGTTAGTGGGGAAGATGCCAGAAGGGCAGTCAAACGATGGGTTTACTCTGAAGTAAGAGACCCTGAGATATTGATGGAATATTTTAAGCATTATATGCACAAAAGGACACTGCTTTTCATATCAGAGTGAAACTTAGGACTATCCTACTGTCCCTTCAAGGGGGAAGGCTGGGAGAGAGGGGACAGAGGACTATCATTTCACAGCCAGTTCAAAACAGCCTCCCAACTCCTTCTCTGCAGCTCAATGTAAGAAGGGGTTGAAATCTCCCCCACAGCTTCTTGCTGCCCTCCCCAAGGAGCAGGACCCAGCTCTGTAGATCTGAAGACAGATCCATCCCCATTGCTTTTTCTGCTCAAGCAGCATTCAGAGAACTTCCTCAACTCCATGACCTGTGTGGCCAAAACGACCTCTTCCAGTCAGAAAGACAGCACAAGGAGCACTATTTTGCCTTTCCTCAAAGCATCTCTCAAACAACCAGACTGGTCATCATTTACAGTTTTCAAAGCAAGGAGAAACATTAGACTTCACAGTCTGGCTTCTTGTCCAGCACAGCTGGAGCCAGCCTGGACAGAAGCAGTCCTACAGGGAAGGGCAGCTGCAGATGGTCTGTCACGTTACGGCTCTTTCTGCACCATGTGCTGTCCCAGACCCAGGCAGGGCTGCAGAACCCAAGAGATAAGAGGGTCTAAGGAAAGTTGTGCTGCACATACATCACATGCTACAACACTGCATGAAGCTGGAGAAACGAGTGGCACAGCATAAAAAACCTGAGCAACCATCAGCAGAAGAGTTGGCCAATAGAAAATAAATTCATTATTTTAGCTTCTTCACATATGCAGAAGCAAACACACTTATTCTGACAACCCTGGTATGCCCCAAATCAGGAAGCTTTAGCTCTTAGGAAGACCCATACTTCTGTTGGGGTTTTGGTCACACGGTTGGATCCTGGGGAAAAGCTGCCTCCCCACCGAGGGCAAGCCTTGGTGCCTGAACCATCCTGTTTGTAGGAAGGAGAAAACTCTGTGCTCCTGCATGGGGACAGCAAGGAGGAACAGTTTTGAACAGCTAATGAAGAGCTTCAAACTCTTCTGGTGGGAGAGGTGAAGGAGAGCAGCAGCACTGCCGTTTCCCACACCCAGCAGCACAGATCCTTTGGAGGGAATAATCAGCTTGACATGCTTACAGCAAAGATTTCCAGCCCTTTCTAAAGCCCAGCAAAGCATTAACAAGAAAATAAATTTTAAAAATTAAAAAAAAAAAATCACATGCCTCTAAATGCAACAAGCTAGGTTCAAGAAAATTAGTACAAATCAAACAGCAACTGTGGGAACTGCTGTGCCACCCCAGATGGCTGTGGGATGAGCAGCAACTTTAATCTCTGCACTGCCAACAGTTAAATGAGGCTCCCTTCACCTTGATCATCCCAAACACTTTGCTATTTTGGTTTCTGTGGTCTACAGCACACTCATACCCCAAAAAACTCCCACCTGGCCACAAAGTCAAGGCAGCCCCGATTGAAGAGCAATTAGGGATTGTTTTATTATTTCTTTGTGCCTCAACAGCAGTGAATCACAGTTAGTCTGACTTGGAAATCAATTGTAAACAGCAAGTTACTTCTCCTGCAAATGTAAAAACCAGAGCCAGCTTTGGTATTTACAGCCAGCAGAGCAAGGCAAACATCAAGCCTTTAAGGGAGGCATGGAGGCCTGCCACTGGAAATCTGGCTTTAGTGAGTTGCTACAGTAATAGCACAAACAGCAAGTGACTGGGAAAACACCTTCAGCATTTGCATTGCTTAACTTTTGCCAGCAAGCGGTGCCTGCAACATACGTATAAAGTTGAAACCTAAAATGCCGCTTGGAAAGTGCATTCGGGGGGGGAAGTAATTACCAAAGGAAGAAGTAGAATCAGCATTACTATTTTTGTAAGAGTAAGGACGCTACCCACAGACTAAAACCACGTTGTGCAAGGTACTGTACACAACAAAAGCAGCTTGCAAGTAGAGGGCGCCTCATTTTTGCACTATTCAGGGCCTGACTGCTTTAGTTGGATTATTTTTCCTATCTTAAAGAAAGAGGCACTGTTTCATTTTAATATTTGCTACTTTACCTCTTTAAAAATATAAATAAAATCAAGTACTAGGTTAATTCTTACAGGCAGAGACTTTGCAGCAATCTGAAATAGCTTTGCTCTAGAAGAGTTTGAGAGCGCTCCAGTAGTTATGCAAGTGAAAGGGAGGAGCAAAGAAGCTGAAGCCATGCCAATGTCCATGGCAGGACAAGTTTTACATTACACAGTGAAATTTAAAGTAAGCTGCAAACTTTAAACAGTGTCCCTCCCTTAGGGCTCAGAGAATTGATTTCAATGTGAATGGTATCAAACCTTAGATCCACCCCTAATATTGTTTTGTTGTAGACACGCTTGTGTTCAGTCAACTCCATCTCCCATGAAAACAATTTCATGGATCCTAGGTCTTTCCTCAGGTATTTTATTGTCTGAAGCCCATAACAGATATTTACTGGGCTCAAATGCAGCTAAATGCATGCACACCCAGCTCAGCCTGCTGGCAGGGTGGGCAGCAGGGACTTTTGTGAGGTACATAATGATAATCCCTCTCCTGGGACTATCCAATTTAAACTACTACCCAAGCCATCTGACAAGGGAAGAAAGTAGTCTTCAAGGCCCTTTCTGTTTCAGGCAGATGATACAATAAAAATATGCAAAGGAATCCAGGTGGTAGGGAGCAAAAAAAAGTTATGTTTTTTTTGTAGAAGAAATAAGAACTGTGAGTATCACTTCATTAATATGACTAGACCGGGACTGCTCCAAGACAGAAAGGGATTGATGCCCAGCAGACTGATATTGCAGGCTTGCTGCCCTGAAACCCGTTTTGCTCTCTGTGTATCCTGTTTTGACTTCTGACAACCCAGGAGCATTCACCATGTTCATGGCTTTCCTATTTCTCCCACCAGCCCACACCATCTTCTCCCACATGGACACAGCATACCTGAAGCCCTCCATCCCCAGCAGAGTGGCTGCAGGAGATCCTAAGTGAATTTTACAAGGACTACAAGAAGGAGTTGAGTGTGTTAATAAAACCAGCATATTCTTTGCCCCTAGACACCTGCTCAGGAATTCCTGAGCAAGGTGAGGGATCTGTTTGTACACTTACACACACTTTAAAACACAGCAGGTGTGGTGCTCCCAAGCACAAGGCATGTGTTTCCCACTTTTGCCAGTGCAGCATCCAGCCTGGTTGATGGGTGCCCATTACCACCCTCATTTTGGAGGCTGGTTATGATTTTGGACCAAACTTTTTCTCAGGGTCTGTGCACAACCCAACTCCTCTGTGCCCCAGAGGCAAGGCTGTAGGGTTTTTGTTGTGCTAACTAATACAGTCAGAAGTAACAACATTTTTTGGATCATAAGCCCTTCTGAAAGCTCAGATCCACATAGCTAAAGGCTTCCCTTGTTTCTCAGCCATATTAACTCGTCTAGCAGGAGACATTATTCCACCTTACAAGTCGTACCTTTCTTCAATCCTGAGACTAACTGCAGCAACATCAGTGATTCATAGACAGCAACTTTCTACCTGTTAATCACTTTTGTACCAGCTTCTATTATTCCACCTTACAAGTCGTACCTTTCTTGTAGCAACTTTCTACCTGTTAATCACTTTTGTATCAGCTTCTACCCACCTTAATTCCAAATAAGCCTTTCCTGAAAAATCAACAGGAGTTGTTTGCAAATCACCTAATGATAAAGCCATTGCACTGTGCAGAGCTGCTTCCTTTCGAGACTGGTAGCATTTTACAGGGTCTTCGCAGAGTCCCCTGTCCTCCCACAAAAGTCTCAGTAGCCCTCTCTTCTTCATCAAAAAATAATCTTATTTATGAAACTATAAAATTGTGTGTTGATCCTTTTGTGTTGTTCCTCAGGCACACATGCAGCTTCATCAAGCCTTTCTCTGCTTTCAGGTCTTCCAACCATTAGATTTCTCCCCAGACAGTCCTGCCATCAGTTACAAAGAGGTGTAAACCCACAGTCATTCCACTGAAACCTATAGGTATGCTCTGGATCTACACCACTTCAAGGGAATTCTCACCTGCAGATGTTCACTTTGCGAACACCAACTCATTTCTGATGCAATATCAACTCACCAAATCTGTGGCCCATTTGGCAGTCCTGCATTTTCAGATGCAGACACCTAGAGCCAGATATCCCTACCCTGGTTTTGCTACACTAGTGTTTGCTCCCCACTCCTCACACACAACTGTTCTAGCTGTTCACACCTGCCTTTGACTTCAAAGCAAGCCAGGGCCACTCAAAACATCTGCAGACTAAGTCACTTATACAGATACCTACCCCGCTTTACCCCTTATATCCCATCCCTTTGGAAATTGAGCACTAAAACAGGCAGAAGAGTTTTGTTACCGTTCACCACTTAGAAACACATCAACTGGCAGCTCGGCACTGTCATACACAAGGCAAGCACAAGCTCCCAATCAGCCACTGGCACAGGCTGCTGTGGTGTTGTGCAGCCCCACTGATAAGACCTTGGGGAACCTGCAGCCAAAAGCAAAAAACCACTACAACAGTTTAAGTCCTAGCTACTTCTTCCCCATAGTACGCACAAGGAAAACAAAGTGAGCTGAAGAAAAAACTCTCTCTTCCCTGGGTGATAACACTTGAAGTATTTCAGTGCCAAGAAAATATTCTAGGGCAGACAGAAAGAAAGTTTTGCATACTCTCTAGCAAAACACTTGCTGCTTACAGAGAGACATTTTGCTTCCTGCACTACACAGATACACAAAAGCCCCCAAACACCCAACAAAGTCTGCAGAGCCCACCCTTGGCCAGCAACCCCAAAGCTCACCCTAAAGCAACTTGCATTAATTTTTTTCCTGTGGGATGAGACTTTTCTAGTCCCCTTGCAGCAGGTTGCACCAGAGCTGGACTCGTCCCCAGTGCAAACTGTGGCAGCAGCACAGCCCCTTTGCCAGCACAATTTCCCCCTGCACCCAGGGGTTAGAGAGCATCCCCACATCCCAGCACAGACTCACCACCAGGATCAGTGTCCCCAGGCACTCAGCCAGCGCTTGCCGCACTAATTTGTTTCTGATCCTCAGATGGTCCTCAATAGTAGCAAGAACGTCCTTTTGCCTCCCCATCACAGCAGAGGTGCCCTTCAAGAGGTGTCAGGGAAAAAGCGGCAGCTGACAAACCCTTAGCAAGCTTTCTTCCCTAGCAGGGCTGCCTTCGCTTATAAATGAGTTGGGCGAAGCCTGCCACTCCTCCTGGGTGACCACACCCCTTCCACCCTCTCTTCAAACTCAACTGGTTTTTTTCCCCTCCTTTTCAGCATGACACAGAGTGGGCAGTTTTATTCATTTTCTTTATGGCTTGCATAGTTGAACAAAAGATTCAGGAGTTTCAGAAGAAAGAGGAATGAAACATGGCAAAGATGTCCTGCACAAACCCCTGCTGTTTTCATCATCACCTAAAACATTGGGCCCTATCTTCAGCTGGAAAGCTAAAAGCTGAATGCATGGACTGAGCAGTGTCTTAACCCATTTCTGTGAGCACAGCACCCTGCTTTCAGCTTTCTTTCCCTCCCAAGCTCCTACATGAAGGCAAAGTGATGAGTGCTCCTGTGCTGATTCAGAGGCTGCAGGTGCTTTTGCAGCAAAATCACGGGGCAGGAAGTTCTGATCCCCTGACCTGTACTGCAGGCTGAGACCAAGGCACCTCCTGACTCCAGCAACTACCCAGTCGAAGCTGATACATGCATGAAAATCTGCATGTGAGTCCAAACTCTTGCATATCATTACAATGTGTCTCCCCCTCCCAGGGCTTTGGGAGAGCGTTTGCAGCCCAGTCCCAATGAAAACTGTGAAGAAAAGCAATGAGGAATCGCCAGTGCAGAGCCAATCCCCATCATAGGACCTTGACGAGGAGCCCACAGGCTCACTGAGCCTTGCAGGAGCCAATCCTTGCTCCTTTTCATCCTCAGTAACGTCCTGGACCACTTCTATGGGATGGCTTGAATGAAAGCTGTCCCAGTCTGTACCATCTGAGGTGAGGGCTGCTGACAGGACACATGCCACTCATGGCATCTGGTTTCTGTTAAGCGAGTAGTAAATATTCCCTAGGCTCCTTGACTCACAAGGACTTGATGTAGAGCAGCAGGGCTGAATTTGCAGGACTGGAAGGGACCCCTTTCCTGGATTTGTTCCCTTGCCTCCTCTGCAAAGCCACAGATGCCCAGATTTTCCTCTTCCCATTTTTTAACCGTCAACTCGCCTGTTGAAAAAGCAGAACTTTTTAGTGCAGTGGTGAATGGGCCTTTATTTTGTACAGAAACTGCAGCCAGCCAGAGGAGCAGAGTCAGGAATGTGGTTAAGAAAGCAATAATGTGTGAGGAATCAAATGCAGGGGAACACTGGGGTCCAAACATAATTACAGGGACAGGAAACTTTCCTCATTACTTTGCACTCAGGCCCAGCCTGGTATCACCAGTATCAATGGGGTCCTCTGAACTACAATCAGCCCTGTGCATGCTCACTGTGGCTGCGGTTTGCAAAACTGTGTTCAGGCCACCCATTTTTAACTTCATCTCTGTATCTCTCTCCTCACCCTCTTGCTGTGCATCACTCGAGCCATGGAGGGTCCACAGCCACCGCTCTGCCTCTCTTCCTCCTGTGCTCCCTTCTCCTTTGTACTCCATTCTGTGAAAGTCATCACAGACAGAAATGAAGCTGTGTGTTGAGTTTTTCCCTTTCGGTAGTTCCTAAGCTAAGGTCTGTGGTTTGTTTTGCCATTTGTTGAACCACCAGTGTGAAGATGCTGTATTCTATGGTGTAGGTTTATTGAGATTTATTTAGACAGGGTCCTGGATCCTCTTCCTTCCCTGCTGGTAGGGACAGGGCCATAAGACCATCAAGGCACAGGTGAGGAGCAAGAGTCATGGGGAGGTGTGATGTTCACGAGGTAGGTAGGTACAGGTCTGCAGCATCTGAGCCCCTCTGGCTGTAAGCTGAGGATACAGACATTTCCTCACGACTCTTGAAGGGAGGGGCAATGTTTAGGCTCCCAGGTTGATAGTAGAAGATGGTGGTAACACCAACATCAAAGCTGGTACTCGGGAGAGTATGGACAGACGCAAGCCTGAGGATCCAGGGCGGGATGGGCTCTCCGACACCAGCTCTGTGGCTGACTCACTACCTGACCTTGAGCAAATCCTTCACCTTTCCACACCTCAGCTTCTCCATCAGTAAATTGGAGAGAGTGACATTGGATTCCCTTCTCAGGGCGTTGTGAGGGTGAATCACTGCAGCCCAAGATCCAATGACTTAAAATGAGCAATAGGGACTTATGCAATTGCTTTCACAACAGACAGCCATGTTATTATCTAGGAAGGAGCTTGGCAAGCGTGATTCAACACTAGAAGAAGTGGAAGATCTTTTCAGAAGCAATAACTAATCGAACTGTGGGTAAGGACTGAAAGGTCCCAGTGCTGGAGCTTCCCTGTGCCAAGGTAGGAATTGCCCTGCCACAGCATTCAGGGACACATCATCTATGCACAAAGTAATTAAATATGCACATCAGCAGCAACATGTTTCAAAAAAAAGTCCATCTCCTGCAGTAACCGGTGCACTGGGTACTGATACCCATTGTGGTGGTCAGAAGTTCATGGATCAGTAGAAGTAAATAAGGAAGGATGTAGCAGTAAGACTAACAAGGCCCTCAGAGCTGCTGGGCTCTCCTAGTGTTGGATAGACAAAGCGAGATGTCCATTGCCTTGCATGGACATTCAAAGATGTTCTTTCGCAGCACAAAGTGTTGAAGAAAGGAAATTTCCAAAATTGCCACAAAAACTTATGACAGAGTTTTGGAAATAGCCTTACCTCCTGGTGGTAGTGACAAAGGTATTGAAGCCCAAGCAAGGGAATTCTGTTGTCAACCATGGTGTGATTCAAACATCGAGTGTCAAAGTGCCTAGAGTGAATTATCTCTATCAATCTGTACAGATCCAAGGTGTTGTGGGGGGTGATGTAACACTTTAATTTATGGAAACTGCTGGTTGTCCAGCACAAACTCAAAGAGAAGAGGAAGCTCAGCTCAGCAGGGAAATCAGAGACAACATTGTTCTGTTGTGTGCCTTCCATAAATCTCAATGTTTTCTTCCAATATCTACTAGGACCAACAAATATGGTAGTACCTAGGAACAAATCGAGATTTGAACCCACGCCCTCTGACACTGGTCCAACAGAACACTTGTCTGTAACATTTGTCACTTTCTTACTCTTTTTGTTTCTCTCATGCAGAATCGTGCAACATACCACAAGAAACTCACTGTGCTCAGGCTGTTATTTCTAGACAAGATCCAAAACTAACACCCAGGTTCCAGGTTTGCTGTTTGCATTTCAGCCTGGCTGCTTGGCTCCCTCCCTTGTCGCTCCAATCCAGGGGAAAGACAAAGGTGAAATTTTAAAGGAAGAACCAATCCTTGGCTGCTCCCCTTCAGCTGTTTTTGTACTGGCTTTAGTGACACAAAATAAACTCAGGCTCATAAACTCCTTGGCTTTTGCAGAGTGCTGAATCAGCCTCCAGCAAAGTAATTTTTCCTATTAAAACCCAAGTTTAACAAAGTAACCAGACTTTTTCTTAAGCAGCTGAATGGATAAACCTGGACTGATGGGTTCCACATCTTGTCCAAGCCAAATTGATTCACTCATCCCAGGATGGATGGTGCAATCCAATAAGCATGAATCACACAAATCCGTAATGAGTCACTCATTGCACTGATGGCTGGGTCACCTGGTGCAAAAGCCGTTATGCCAAGAGAGATCACTGGGTCAAAGCAAGACAGGATTCATCCTTGTGCAATCTCCCTTTGGAAGACAGCTCTGACCATCTCCTTCCCATGATCTACTTGAAAGAGCAATACAGTGACATATTCAGGTTTCATTAAAAATAAAAATTACAGCTTCCCTGGCAAGGCAGGGTAGGAAGTGAGTGGGTAGGAAGTTGATATGCTTTCTACACCATTCTAGCTGGAGGGTTGAGTGTAGTGATTTCATCATACTGCCTTGAATCTCCAGATTTGCAGAGCCAGGTGTTCATTTCATGTCTGAGTCTGCTTAGCCCTCCACCTTGAGTTAGAAAAATGGAGAAATTCCTCCAGGGAGCAGTGGGTCTACACAGCTGAGGGTTGTTGATGGCATCTGTGTTTGGAGACATTACGGTGAAGCTCCAATCCTAATTTAGGTTCCTTGGACATCTGAGAGAGGCCTGTAAGTTGGCAAACTGGGTTTGGACTTGGATTACAATATAGTAATGGGAATAATATTAAAATCCATGAAAACAGCTCTTCATGAAGCTTAGGACCAAGTGGAGGAAAGGGTGACCCTGAGCTGGGTCTATACCTCATAACATTCAGAAGTATCTCATAGGAATGGATTTCCCAGAGGTACACTGGAGCATAGGCCCACAGCCTGTTGCCACTGGTGGTTCCTTGTCACGTCCGATTTCCTCCTCATCCCAAATCTGGTCCAAATTTACAGAAGTAAACATTGTTCATCATATGCCATTCCTGTAGAGAGGCCATTTTCCAGTATAAGCAGCTGCATACCAGAATAATTATTGTCCACTGGAAAAGCAGCAGTTGCTCCAGAAGAAAGCTTTTTAATAACATATCTGAAAGGAAAGCTATTATAAACAGCTCTCCTGAAATACGGTTTTGGCCAGAGCTTCTCCCATAAACTGCACTGTGTGGACAGTCGTTCTGAGAGCTGCAAAGCCAGTCCTGACTTGGAGACACTGCTGCTGCTGCACACTGCAGGAGGAGAGTTCAAAGACCCTGAAGGCAGAAGACACAGAAATGGGGTGAAACTCCACCAGGCCAAAGCGTGAGTC